AATATTCAGGAAATAATCACTGATTATAGTTTTGAAGTAGTTAAGTTAAGGAACTTTTAATGAATTCCATGTCATCTTGGATTCTAAGTACCGAAGTACCAAGACCATCAACTTTGGTATCTAATCCTTTCACTTATACATCAAGTCCTTTGACTTGTTCTTCTAGTCCTTTTGCCTGAATATCTAGTCCATCTATTTTGGCATCAAGCGCTTTAGATTATTTCTCAAGTTCAATCTTGCTAATTTCTTATGCTTGGTCAAGTTTCTAATTCAATGTACCAATTTTTTCATCAAGACCTTCATTATTTTTAGTTTGAATTGCGTTAAGATTCTAAATAATTTCTGCTTTAGACTTGACTGCTGTTGTTCTAATAGTATACTTCAGATCTTTGATAAACCCTTACCATTCCCCAGCATCATTGATTTCTGTGTTTAAAGGTCTTCTAACAACAATATAATTTGGGAAATATTTTATGCTTTTCAAGTCATCTTCACTAAAAAGCTGTTCCCTCTCAACAATCATTTGAGCTTTGACTCTGAATGATTCTGCAACTAATTTCTGCATAACTCTTTCATACGATTCTGAAATCACAGCAATTATGAAGTTCATGAATACGACGTTCAAAGTCAGGACTGCTATTAGCCAGATCATCCAGGAAAATATCACTAATCCATCAGTTTGACTATGGTAATCATCAAGCTGGAAGTCACCAGATGAAATTCTAAAGGCCATCAAGAAGTATGCCAACTTATTTACGCCATTGTATTCATCAATTTACTGAGCCTTGAAAAGGACTAAGAAGATCATTCCAAACTGTAAGATGAAAATTATAAAGAATATCAAGAAATATTTAAGATCTTTGAAGACTCCAGCCATCATTTGTACCAAGAAACTAAAACCATCATAAATTCTCAAGAAAAAGAATAGCTTCATAAAAGACAAAATTATCACCAGAATTTTTATCAAGATTAGGTTATCTTGGCTTTGATTAGTAAAGTCTAAGATGCAAAATGCTGTAAAAGCTAAAATGTGCGAAAAGTCAAAGTAGTTCCATCCATCATTGAAGTATCCTTTTCTTTAAACTTTGATTTATCTAAACTCATATGCTAAGAAATAGCAAAGTACGATACTACAAATTGCTTTTGCTGAAATCTTAATCCAGATATTTGATTGAAAAATCTCAGTATCCTTATCACCTACTTTTTAATCTGAAATATTTTCTTTAGCAGATGCATAAGTTGAATAAAAAATATCGAAAATGAATGAGGCCAC